AACAACAGCATCAATGGTAACAACAATAAACAGCAATAGCGGTGAACAAGACAAAAAGATATACAGAGAAATACCGCGAAATGATCACGGAGCAAACCCGCCGCGTGTATGGCAAAAACCAACACCAGAAGCGAAAGTAAAAAGGCTCCGCGCCTGGACCTGACGTCAGCAGGTATGAATAACCCGGCTGGAGATCCCTTCCCCCTCTCTCTCTGCTGGGGAAAACTTTACTCTATCCTGGCTGAACCAGGACATAATCCACCCCTTTATTCTATACCATCTGCGCCATGTCCAGCTGCCATTTAGCAGTTAACAATAACAAAGTAATAATCTACGCAGGCACAGCACAGTTTACGGCATGTTCTCACCCAGAATCAAGTCCCCCTGTGGTACGCATCGGACCTCTCTGTTGTCCTGCATCACCCACCAGGTGCACCCAGGTCCTTGGGCAAAAGCAATCCCGTGGACGGGTTTGCCTTTACCTTTGCCTGGCGCTGGACTAAACCAAACCATTTTTCCCAATATATTCCTCATGCGCACCACAGGGACTTTATCCCCATCTACAGCACGGGGAGGTCTCGACTGAGCCGGGCCAGCTCGACTGGCAGATCCTCCTGTGTTGACAAGCCAGGTGGCCTTTGCTAGATGCATGTCCCAGTCTCTGAAGGTGCCACCTCCCAGTGCTTTCACCGTGGTTTTTAACAGTCCATTGTAGCGCCGAATCTTCCCAGAGGCTGGTGCGTGGTAGGGGATATGGCAGACCCACTCGATGCCGTGTTCTGCCCAGGCATTTATGAGGTTGTTTCGGAAGTGGGTCCCGTTGTCTGACTCAATTCTTTCTGGGGTGCCGTGTCGCCACAGGACTTGGGTCTCAAGGCCCAGGATGGTGTTCCGGGCAGTGGCGTGGGGCGCTGGGTAAGCTTCCAGCCACCCAGTGGTTACTTCCACCATTGTGAGCACGTGGCGCTTCCTGTGGCGGGTCTGTGGCAGTGTGATGTAGTCGGTCTGCCAGGCCTCTCCATATCTATATTTCAGCCATCGCTCTCCGTTTTGCTGGGGCTTCACCCGCTTGGCATGTTTGATTGCAGCATACGTCTCACATCCGTGGATGATCTCTGTGATGGTGTCAATGGTGAGGTCCACCCCTCGATCTCGAGCCCACCTCTATGTTGCATCCCTACCTTGGTGGCCCGAGGTCTCGTGGGCCCACCGGGCTATGAACAGTTCACCTTTGCGCTGCCAGTCCAAGTCCACCTGAGCCACTCTAATCTGAGCAGCTTGGTCTGCCTGCTGGTTGTGTCGATGCTCATCAGTGGCCCGACTCTTGGGTCCATGGGTATCCACATGGCGCACCTTCACAACGAGGTTCTCCACACGGGCTGCAATGTCCTGCCATACTCCAGCAGCCCAGTTTTACCCTTACGTTGCCAGTTGTTCTGCTTCCATTGCTGCAGCCATTTCCACAGGGTATTCGCTACTGCCCACGAGTCGGTGTAGAGGTAGAGCCTCGGCCACTTTTCCCACTCAGCAATATCCAAAGCAAGCTGGACGGCTTTCACCTCTGCAAATGGGCTCGATTCCCCCTGTCCCTCAGCAGCTTCAGTGACCCGTCGTGTGGGACTCCACACAGCAGTCTTCCAGCGTCGAGGTTTTCCCACAATGCGACAAGAGCCATCAGTGAACAGGGCATATCGCTTCTCCTCATCCGGCAGCTCGTTATATGGTGGGGCCTCCTTAGCACGTGTCACCTCCTGCTCTGGTGACATCCCGGAATCTTTGCTCTCTGGCCAGTCCGTGATCATCTCTAGTATCCCTGGGCGGCAGGGGTTCCCTATTCGAGCCCGTTGTGTTATCAACGCAACCCATTTACCCCACGTGGCATCGGTTGCATGATGCGTGGAGGAGGCCTTTCCTTTGAACATCCCCCCCAGCACCGGCAGTCGGGGTGCCAGGAGGAGCTGTGTTTCAGTGCCGACCACTGCTGAGGCAGCCCGAACTCCTTCGTACGCTACCAGTATCTCCTTCTCAGTTGGTGTGTAATTAGCTTCAGAGCCTTTGTATCCCCGGCTCCAAAAGCCCAGAGGTCGGCCTCGGGTCTCCCCAGGGGCTCTCTGCCAGAGGCTCCAGGTAGGGCCATTCTCCCCGGCTGCGGTGTAGAGCATGTTCTTAACCTCCTGCCCTTCCCGGAGTGGCCTGAGGGCTACTGCTTGGGCAATCTCTCGTTTAATCTGTTCAAAGGATTGTTGTTGCTCAGGGCCCCATTCAAAATCGTTCTTCTTACGGGTTACGTGGCAGAGAGGGCTCACAATCAGGCTGTAGTTTGGGATGTGCATCCTCCAGAACCCCACGGCGCCCAGGAAAGACTGAGTCTCCTTTTTAGAGGTTGGTGGGGCCATGGCTGTGATCTTGTTTATCACCTCCATTGGGATGTGGCGACGCCCATCTTGCCATTTTATCCCTAGGAATTGAATTTCCCTTGCAGGCCCCTTAACTTTCTTTTGCTTAATGGCAAAGCTGGCCTTCAGGAGGATTTCAATTATCTTCTTCCCTTTCTCAAAGACTTCCTTGGCTGTGTCTCCCCATACAATGATGTCATCAATGTACTGCAGGTGTTCTGGAGCCCCACCTCTCTCCAGTGCAGTATGGACCAGTCCATGGCAAATGGTGGAGCTGTGGTTCCACCCCTGGGGCAATCGATTCCAGGTGGACTGGATGCCTCTCCAAGTGAACGCAGACTGTGGCCTGCACTCTGGCGCTATCGGAATGGAGAAGAACGCGTTAGCAATGTCAATCGTGGCGTACCACTTGGCTGCCTTCGACTCCAGTTCATACTGGAGCTCCAGCATGTCCGGCACTGCAGCACTCATTGCTGGCGTCACTCCATTCAGGCCACGGTAGTGCACAGTTAGCCTCCATTCGCCATTGGGCTTTCTCACTGGCCATACAGGGCTGTTGAAGGGGGAGTGAGTTTTGCTGATCACCTTCTGGCTTTCTAGTTGACGGATCAGCTGCTGGATGGGGACCAGGGAATCTCGGTTGGTGCGGTACTGCCGCCGCTGCACCGTCCTGGTAGCAATCGGCACTCGCTGCCCCTCAACCTTAAGCCGTCCCACCACTGAGGGATCCTCTGAGAGGCCGGGTAAGGTGGACAACTGTTCCACCTCCTCCAGGGCAGCTACACCAAAAGCCCACCGGTACCCTTTTGGGTCTCTGAAGTGCCCTCTCTTGAGATAGTCTGTGCCCAGGATGCACGGGGCGTCTGGGCCAGTCACAGTGGGGTGCTTATGCCAGTCCTTCCCAGTCAGGCTCACTTCAGCTTCCAGTAGGGTCAGCTGTTGGGATCCCCCTGTCACTGCGGAGATGCAGATGGGTTCAACCCCACTGTAGCTCGATGGCATCAGGGTGCACTGTGCGCCAGTGTCCACCAAAGCCTTATACTCTTGTGGGTCTGACGTGCCAGGCCATCGGATCCACACTGTCCAGTAAATCCGATTGTCCCTTTCCTCCCCCTGGCTGGAGGCAGGGCCCCTCTAATCCTGCTCATCATCACTCACTTCTTGAAAGAATGATTTCCTGGTCCCCTCAAGAGGGTCAGACATAACGTTCACCATTCTATTCTGCCGGGGGGATTTCTGAATGGACACTGGAGCTGCGCTCCTCTTGGAGGACTCCCCTTTTGCGATGGCCTTCCCTTTCAGGTGCTCTACTCGTGCAGCCAGGGCGGCAGTGGGCTGTCCATCCCGCCTCCTCATGTTCTCTCCATGGTCACGGAGGAAAAACCACAGGGTGCCTCGTGGTGTGTACCTTCTGCTGCCTTTCTCTTGGGTGGGGAAACGCTTACTTCTAATGGCTGCGACATCAGCCCGTGCAGGTGGAACGTAGGACATGTCCTCTTCCATTTTCTGGACCCTCTGAGACAGTTCCTCCACAGCTGAGACCAGGGAATGCTGAGATGAGGGGAGATTTCCCTCATGTTGCCGGAGCTTGCCAACCACTCCATCCACTGTCAGAGTGAGGGTGTCTGTCCACCAGGACACTATTGCCAATGCTTTCGAGTGTGCTTCTGGTGCGCTCTTCAGGAACTTTTGCCACATCAGGTGTGTGCAAGGGGCCTGATCTGGGTCCATGGGTGACTGCTCATCATTCAGATCACCATAGATCATCTCAAACATGGCCAGTTCCCTGAGGCTCTGGATGCCTTTCTCAATGCTGGTCCATTTGCTCAGCTGACACAGCATATCATCCTTGTAGGGGTGCCTCTCCCTGACACTGAACAGGAGTCGCTTCCAAAGGCTGAGGGTTTGAGCCTGTTTCCCTATCTCCCTGTCAATGCCAGCATCCTTGGCCAAAGATCCCAGCTGCTTGGCCTCTCTCCCCTCCATCTCAAAAGCACTGGCTCCATTGTCCCAGCATCGGAGAAGCCAGGTGCAAATCTGCTCGCCTCCCAGGCGGCCGAAATCTCTCCGCATATCTCGCAGCTCAGTCGGGGACAGAGATCGGACA